TTCTCTCCATTTTATCTCTTCTCTTCAATACTTGTCTCTTCTCTTCTCATTCATTCTCTTGTCCTCTATTCCTTCCTTCAGTACATTGCCTATATTCATTCAGATACAGAAGAATTGGCGTCACATGTTTAGCGGACAGTGTGAAGGGTGTGGTCTCCATACGTCTTTTGAAATGATACATTTGAGACATATTCCACCTCACTTTAGTCACCTCTCAGGACTACTGAACTTATTCCGATCAAAACTGGTACATTTCTATCTCCCTTCTATTAACTACCGTACGGTTGGTAATATTCGAGGGTCCAAAATTTCGTGTTTTCTCCAAAATGTCCTTAGAAGCTAATATTCGTGGGTACAAATGGCGTGGATGGCAGTTAGCAAACTTCTTTTCACTTGGATCTACTGGACTAGCTTCCAACACATGGCTTATATAGTGGAATATGGAGTAATAGACAAAGACTTTGGCTCCTCCACTCAGTCCACTGGCTTGGAAATGGTAGTTAGAACTCTGCATGGCCCGTTAATTAGTTTTTATGTGTGGGTGGGTAGGGGTTAAAATTTCGTGGATAAAAATTAACCACGAAATTAACGAAAATTAATACCCCACGAAATTTACCAACCATACGGTATTATTTGTATATTACAATGAATATGTACAATATGTGATGGTTTTATTAATAGAATGGTGTGAATATTAATCCTCCTAATATTAATATTGCTGCTAGACTAACATATTGTCTAAGAGACTGGAATGTGGAGGATTGACCAGTGGGTCCACTATGTTATTATAATCATTAATTAATTTAATTATTGATTCCAGCGTCTGGTGATGGGAGTGATTGTTTCCTTAGTCTGCCAGTAGGAGCAAGTTCTGATCCTATACAGTAAATATTAATAATTGATATCCTTCTCTGCATCTCTCCCTCTCTCTCTCCAAGGGAGATTCATCTTTGTGCTGTTTGGCCTCTACTAACTGAATTAATAGTCACTGACAATGAAACTAATTCGTAAGTTGAT